TTCACAGTGAGGGTGGTGAAACACTGGAACAGGTTGCCCAGAGAGGTGGTAGATGTCCCATCCTTGGAAACATTCACGGTCAGGTTGGATGGGGCTCTGAGCAACCTGATCTAGTTGAAGATGTCCCTGCTCATTGCAAGGGGGGTGGACTAGATGACCTTTAAAGGTCCCTTCCAACCAAAACTAGTGTATGATTCTATGATTGCTGTCTTATTTGGAGAATGGAGATGTTCCTAATTAATATAGACTTTCCAACAGAAAAAAAGACTCAAATGCACAAACTTTTGTCAGGTCAAATAACGGAGTGCATCACTGTGATGCTAAATATCTTCAGAAATATTAACCTCTGCTTTGTGTTCTTTGGGGGCAGGGGGGCTGAAGCTCTCTTGTGTCAGTACCCCGTCTTCACCTGCAGTTATCTCTGACTGAATCCTCTCTCACTCAGATAACCATCTCTTACCAGCATAAACAGTGTACTGGGTGTATGTGGCAAGGTTCTGGTAGTGGGGAGGGGAAAGCTGCTTCTGTGGGAAGAGGTCAGAAGCTACCCTGTGCCAAATACAGCTGGTTCCAGTTGGCTCCCCAATGGCCCCACTGCAGACCAAAGCTGAGCCAATCAGCCAAGTTTGTGATGCCTCTGTGATAACATATTTAAGGAAGGGTAAAAAAAAATGCTGGATGGAGAGAGGAGGAGGGAATAAAAAGAATGAGAAACAGCAGAGGTAACACCAAGGTCAGAGCAGGAGCTCGAGCTCAATGGTAGAGCAGATATTCACTGCAGCCTTTGAAGAACCCACCCCAGAGCAGATGGATATTCTTGAAGGAACTGCAGTCTGTGGAAAACCTATGCTAGAGCAGAGGAAAAGTGTGAGAAGGAAGGAGGAACAAAGAGAAAACACTATGTACTGACCATAACCCTCACTCCCATCCCCATTGTTCTGCTTGGGGGGGGGGGGTGCAGAGTTGAAGAGTCTGAAGAGGAATGAAGTTGAGCCTGGGGAAGTGGGGAGGAATGCTGTTGTTTTAATGTTTGTATTTTCTTTCCCACTACCTGAATCAGTAATTAAATATTTAATTGGCAATAAATTAAGTTTCCCTTGGTCTGTTTTGCCCGTGACAGTAATTGGTAACTGATCTCCCTGTCTTTATTTCAACCCACAGGCTTTCTTTTTCCAGTTTTCTACACCCATCCCGCTAGGGGGCAAGGGAGTGAGAGAGCAGCTGGGTGGCAGTTTGGCTGCTAGCCAAGGCTAACCCAGCACACATAGATATATGCACAGCGCAAGTTCATCATTAAAAAATGCATCTTTGTTTACCTCACCATCTTATCTCTAATCATTTCAATGAAATTCAATCCCTCAAAATCTGTGAAATTCTGATTTTGTTAAGAGAATCTATATAAATTATTAATAATTTTGAGGGGAAAAAATAACAACTACATTTTTTGGTTTACATGTAACAGCATGTCAATTAGATGCCACTCTAGTCAATCATAAAGACATTTAGTTATGGGTGAAATAATCCACTGCTGCTTCTGTATTGTTCCAGAGTAGTATTGTACCCAGTCTTTTGGAGCACTATTTTTGTCAGCTGAGAAATGCTGCTTTTCCCTTCACTGGATACCCGTTGATACAGCTTTTAAACGCTTTTTTAGCCCTTTTCAGCTATTTCTCAGAATTTGACTTGTTAGAGCCAAACTATTATAAATTATGCCAATTATATTGTTTCTGTAATTGCAAAAGTAATTGAAGTAATTGCAGACTTTTCTAGAGCAACAGAGATCTTGGGAGATGGTAAAAACAGTGGTTCTGCTCCTCATTTTCCTTATGCCAGGTGCCTAGAGAGCTAGGGAGACCACAACAAGCTGTTGCTGCTGTCAAAGGGAGCTTGCTGTGAAGGTTGGCATGACTGCTGTGAAAGGCTGTCAGCCACTGAGAAGCCTTGAGCCAGCTCCAGCTGCACATTTCTGTACATTAGTTATTCACACGTTTCTGTCTGCAGCCTTTTCCATTGCAGCTGAAATAGGCTTTTGCTGGAAGCAATTTGGTGAGGTAGAGCTGGCTCATAAAATCAGAGCTAGTGCTTGAACGAGCTATTAAATACTGCCTGCTCCCCACTGCTCCTTCCCTCTCTTCAAAGAGCCATACTGTCTTGTTTGGTTTAGCAAGGTTTCCTTCATATTGCATCTGATATAAGGTCAGATCCCCAATGCAGGCCTTGTCCTACATTCCTTGTTATTCCATCCTTATTTCCAGAACTAGTTCATATTTCTTTAGCTGTACAAACAGCTATTTTAGTTAATGGGTTTATAGGAAACAGCTTTCCCTTGGAGGTTAGCTTAACACCGGAAAAGGGAACCCAGAGAGGTGGTGAAATCTCCATCTTTGGAGGACTTGCGTAGACAAAGCCATGACTGACTTGGTCTCGTGTTGCAAATAACCCTACTCGAGTGAAAGGATGGACTAGATGGGCTCCTTTCAGCTAACACTTCTGGGATAATACTCTGCTATCATTTCAGTGGTGTTTCAGCAAGTGAGTACTTACAGCTGTTTACATTTAAACAGATTAAATATGTGGCTGTTACTTGTTCTATGGTACCTAATGGTCTCAGCAATGCAGCAGCATCCCTGCTGCTGTACACACAGTCATGCTTTCTATGTTCTCTTAGGTTATAAAAGTAACTGTTTTCATCTAACTGCAGCGTTTTACCACTGATAGACCTAACCCTTACTCTGAAGCCACCCATGTAGTCAAACTCCGCATGTGTATTGGGTAGTAGCACTGTATGATAAGTCTGATTCTGGAAATAAACTGTAAATTACCGTTCCTAATTTTATAATGAGTAATTTCTGGTGAAATAAAGGGAAAATTCTCTAAATGTAAGTGTCCCAGTATCTTAGTGCAAAGAATGTAGGAGGTTCCCTCTTGGGAAGAGCTACTCAGCAACAGAAGAACATATGATGATATTTTCCTACTCAGTTCCTAACAGAACAGCTTACAGCACAATTTCTCTCTTGACTTATGCCTAATGATAAGCAAAGGAGTAGTTTTGCAGAAGTACATACATATTTATAGTTAGAATTAGGCTTAAGTACTTTGCTGAATCCAGATTATTTACATATTACAGAATTACAGAATGCTTGAAGTTGAAAGGGGCCTCTTGAGATCATCTAGTCCAACCTCCCTGTTCAGGCAAGGTCAGCTAGAACAGGTTGTCCATGAATAATAATAATGAGTTAATCCAGGGGGAAATGATTAGCAACCTGCTACACCACTTAGACGCACACAAGTCTATGGGTCCAGATGGGATCCACCCAAGGGTACTGAGGGAGTTGGCAGAAGTGCCAACTTCCCAAAATTGAAAGAAGTGCTTCTTCTTTCAATCATTTATCAGCAGTCCTGGGTAACTGGGGAGGTCCCAGTTGACTGGAGGTTAGCAAATGTGATGCCCATCTACAAGAAGGGCCAGAAGGAGGATCCCGGAAACTACAGGCCTGTCAACCTGACTAGGGAAGCGATCGTCCCTTTGTATTTGGCACTGGTGAGACTGCACCTCAAATACTGTGTTCAGTTTTGAGCCCCTCACTGCAAGACAGACATGGAGTTGCTGGAGTGCATCCAAGGAAGAGCAACGAAGCTGGTGAAGGGTCTAGAGAAAAAGTCTTATGAGGACCAGCTGAGGGAACTGGAGTTGTTTAATCTGGAGAAGAGGAGGTTGAGGGGAGACCTTATCGCTCTCTACAACTACCTGAAAGGAGGTTGTAGCAAGGTGGTTCTTAGTCTCTTTTCCCAAGTAACTAGTGATAGGACGAGAGGAAACAACCTCAAGTTGCGCCAGGGAGGTTTAGATTGGATGTTAGGAAAAATTTCTTCACTGAGAGGGTGGTCAAACATTGGAACAGGCTGCCCAGGGAGGTGGTGGAGTCACCATCCTTGGAGGTATTTAAAAGACCTGTAGACATGGTGCTTAGGGACATGGTTTAATGATGGACTTCGTAGTGTTAGGTTAAGGGTTGGACTCAATGATCTTAAGAGTCTTTTCCAACCTAAATGATTCTATGCTTCTATGATTCTATGGCTCAGTAACAGCAGAATCTGCAGGATTCACTTCCTTGATTTTGTTCTCTGGAGGCCTGTTTGGTGGTGAAACTGTTGTTTTCAGGAGGCAGCTGCTAAAAAAAAAACTTCCACAGGTAGCTAATCGGGCCTACTTTAGAGTTTTCCAAATAAAGAAAGAAGTAGAGTTAATTCCTGGTACTGATCTCCATTTGTTCCAACTCTTTAACTGCATCATGTCAGCCTAACAGTTCTTCATAGTTGTATCAAAACACAATAGAATTTTACAGTGTCAGAAAGCCCTTACAAACAGAACTGTACGCTTCACTTACATTTCCACTATAGTACAAAATGCTTTTCAGGAGCAATTAAGCAAGACTTAAGTAAAGGCTAGCCCAATTATGTGAGAAACAGATTTACCATTTGTAAGATTTTATGTCATAAGCCTTTGATTTGGGGAAATATTCTCAGGTTATCAATGAGTAAATTCCACATTTACCTGGAACTATTTTAAAGCTGATGTCTTTCAAAAAGTTAAGGATTACTTGCATTTAAAGTTCAGGAAAGTCATACAAAATAAATAAGGTTCTTGAAACTTGGTTATTATGTCTTGTACACTTGTCTCTGCCTTGAAACACATGCATTTCAGTACCCACAAATTCGTTGGCTGATCATAACTGTGCATAGTCAGTATTTACAACAGTACCTGTTATAGCTATCATCCGTGTCATTGAGTTTGCAAAAGGAAACAGCCTGCTTATTTAATTTACCACTTACCTATGAACTGTAAATGAATCAGTTAAATCTCACATTTCGGTAAGAAGGTGGAAAACATGAAATGGATCTGTTTATCAAGTAAAATGGAATTGCATGGATTGATTTAAAAAAATTTTAAAAAATTCTTTTCACAACCACATAAATTCATCTCTCTCTTTTTATTCCAGAATCGAATGGAAGAAAGCAAAGCACTCTTTAGGACAATTATCACATATCCATGGTTCCAGAATTCTTCCGTCATTCTGTTCTTAAATAAAAAAGATCTCTTAGAGGAGAAAATTATGTACTCCCATTTAGTTGATTATTTCCCAGAGTATGATGGTAAGTATATTGCCACCAGAGGTCATGCCCTATTTACACTGAGGTAACGACAAAATGTAATAGCCTTGCCCATATTTTGCTTAGAGGTTCTTAGGACAAAGATTATCACCCATTCTACATTACACCCATTTTCTTCTTTACAAATTGTACTCAGTACACCAAATGGTTAGTTTGTAGTTGAATGACTTGCTGGTCATGTTTTTTTAAAAAATTATATGAAAAGGAAAAAATTATTTAAAATAGCAATTCTTAATACTCCCAATTTTTAAAGTCACTGAAGTCTTGTGGGATTTCCTAGATTGCTAGGATTTCATTTTATACCTCCATTCATTATGGATAGGATGGCAGTACCTTTCATGTGAAATTATTGATTCTAGATGACTAACATCATATTAGCAATGGACCTTATTCTGTCCTTGTTCTATGGAAAATAGATTCTATGATTCTATGTGAAGTTTAATGTGCTTGTCCCAGAAAACATTATGTGGAACACACAGCTGTTTATAAGGAAGCTGTACTTTCAGAAAGTTCTCCTGAAGTGAAAAGTTAGGTATTCTAAGGTAATTGAGTGGAGGCTTTGGTAACAGGGAAAAAAATGAAATTCATACAAGAACACCTCTTGTCTCACCAGAGAGTGAAAAGCAGTTTCTAAAGCTACAAAAAAGATTAAATCTCTCCTTTTCAAAACTAGAGAGTGATAAAAGGAAAAAGTTACAGTTTTTTCCTGTTTGAGAGGAAAGAATGTGTTCACAGTGAACAGCCTGCAGGATCAGACCATACTTATTTATGAGTCAGTGTAAGTTTAGTTTGATAGTACTATACAGAAGAGAACTGACAGTTAAATAGAAAATATTCTTGTCCTTTCAAGTTACAAATGTGACAGATGCCCTAGATGACATCCTGCAGGTGAGAAGGCTCCATAGGCCCTTCTGTTATCATCACTCAAGTGGAGATACACCTGTGTTAAATGCTTTTCCAGAAGAAAACCGACAAAATTCACACAGAATAGTTGAGGTTTGAAGTGGCCTCTGGAGATCATCTGGTCCAACACCCCTGCTCAAACAAGGTCACCTAGTGCCTGTTGCCCAGGACCATGTTCAGATGGCTTTTAATATCTCCAAGGAGGGAGACTCCACAACCTCTCTGGGCAAACTTACAGTAAAAAAGGGTTTCCTGATGTTCAGACGGAAACTCCTGTGTTTCATCTTGTTCCCATTGCCTCTTGTCCTGCCACTGGGCACCATCGACAAGAACCTGGCCTGTCTTCTTTATACCCTTCCTTCAGGTATTTTTACACATTGACAAGAACCCTGCCTGAGCCTTCTCTTCTCTAGGCTAAACAGTCCCAGCTCTCTCAGCTTTTTCTCCAGTCCCTTAATCATCTTTGTGGCCCTTTGCTGGACTCTCTCCAGTATGTCCATGTCTCTCTTGTACTGGGGAGCCCAGAACTGGACACAGGACTCCAGGTGTGGCCTCGCCAGTGCTGAATAGAGAGGAAGGATCACCTCCGTCCTGCTGCAAATAGTTTCTCTAATGCAGCCCAGGATACTGTTAGCCGCCTTTGCAGCAAAGGCACATTGCTGTCTATCCACAGGAGTACGCTCCCCTCCAGAGTCTTCACAGAAAATAAATGATTACACTCACCAAGCTAATGTATCCAAGACAAATTGTAGTACTTTTTATATAGGACTTGACTATCATATAGGGAGACCCTTTGAAGGCTGCTAAATAGGGAGCGATGGACAAGAAACCTACTGATTTGTATTATAATCCTTTTCCAAGATTATTTAGATCATAACCACTTAGCATTGTAAATCTAACATTGGCTCATTCCCTTTTTTCTAAATTCCTGAGGTAGCAAACTTTCTTTTTAACCACAGTTTTCCATACTTGAACTCCAGTCAAAAAAAAAAAAAAAATTTACATGATAATCAGCAGACGTGTTATTAGGTAAGCAAAATTTGTATACAGGCTTTGAATAGTGCAGTAGATTTTGAGAGACGGACAACCCTACCTGCGTCTACCCACTGTAAAACTGTTTAACAAAATCCTAGGAAGTTGATTAAAACAATAAACGGCTTATTTTGTAGAAATCATTGTCTTTGAAAGTCTAGGAGTCTCCTTTACAAATACTTAAACTTATTAAGAGTAAAAAAAAGTAGTAGTGGAATTTGTTATTGCTGCTGTTTCTATAGAATATGTGCTGAAGCTAAAGGCTAGAATCTGTTGTGTTTAGAAATTTTAAAAATTTTGAACAGACCTCTCTGTCCTACCTCAGAGAACTTATCTGTTTATATGTTCTTCTCTACATCTCAGCAAATGTGTAGTCTGTGCATGTGTCTATATATACATATATATTCATGTGCATACACCAAGATATTGCAGAATCATGTTCTCCTTCCACAAGGCTTTGCAACCAATACATATCAGAAAGCATATGATTTCTTTTCTGTGCTTCCTTTGGTACCTAATTTTTGCCGTTATCCAGATTAGAAATGTTTGCAATTGTATTTAAGTATTAAAAGTAAGTTTTATTGTGCAGTTATTGAAAGTTATGCGGGCACACGCTAACCCCCTAAGTACAGATTTCATAACCACTGAAGGACAGAACTATATAACAGCTGAGCACTGGTATTCATATTGTCATGTAACAAGACAAGGACTTATGAGGAGATAGGAGGAGGAGGCACCGCAAACATACATGTTCTATAGAAACCTATGTTGCAGAAACAGGAGAGCAAGGGAATAATGGCCTATGAAAATTGCACTGGAACAGAATTGCAGTATAGGAAAACAATAGCTTGTGGCTAATGTTCCTGCTTCTGCACTGCTCTTTTGGCTGTAAACGTGAATGAATCCTTACTGTTCTAGATCGGAAGTCATTATTTTGCCTTCTGTCTTGTGTAAAGCAGAACATGCAGTTTGGTGACATAGACTTTGTGTTCTTCTGAGAATTACAGATGTAATTTAGATTTAATAGGATTGTTATACGTAATTTAGTTAATTGGTTTGTTAAAACATTAACTTTTTGCAATTGAACAGCTTCAGCTAGCAAGCATGTATATTTTATTATCACTAGAGTAAATGAAATTGTTAGAGACAGTGTCAGACCAGTTTAGGATGTAACTTGATTATGCTACGTTTTAAAAGAACGTACTTAAGTATAGTTTAAATATAGTAGATATAGACTGAAAATGGGCCAAGTCTATTAATTTTTAAAAATATTTATTAGTATAAAGCAACTATTTCTTCTGTTGTTCATTTTGTGTGGTTATAAATCATAAATTTCATCTCTCCATTTTAAACATCTTATGGAAGAAAGAGGATAGTCAGC